GACTAGGCTAAGGGATATTAGTTAGCTGGTAAGATATTATTTATGGGTGTGTTTGTTGGGGGCATTTCTGGAAGAGATTAGCATTTGAATCAGCAGACTGAGCAAAGAGAATCCACCTTCATCTATGTGAGTGGATATCATCCAATCCATTGAGGGCCTGAAGAGAACAAAAAGGCAGAGGAAAGGTGAAGTCTCTCTCTTTGAGCTAGGACATCTGTCTTCTATCCTTAGACATCAGAGTCCCTAGTTTTTAGACCTTTAGACATTGAAACTTAAACTAGCCCCACCCCTTCTTAGACATTTGACCTGAAATTGAGTTACACCCCTGGCTTTCCTGCTACTCCAACTTGCAAATGCCAGATCATTGGACTTGTTGGCCTTCATAATCACATGAGCCAACTGCCAAAATATATCCTCTCATATATCTATATATATCTAACTAGTCCTGTTTTTCTGGAGAACCCTGATAAATACATAATAATGTTTAGGCGTGGCGCCCATAGCTCAGTGAGTAGGGTGCTGGCCATATACATTGAAGGTGGCAAGTTGGAGCCTGGCTGGGGTCTGTTAAACAACAATGACAACTGCAACCAAAAAATAGCTGGATGTTGTGGCAGGCACCTGTAGTCCCAGTTACTCAGGAGACTAAGGCAGGAGAATTGCTTAAGCCCAAGAGTTTGAGGTTGCTGTGAGCTGTGACAACACAGCACTCTACCGAAGGTGACATAGTGAGACTGTCTAAAAAAAAAGTGTTTATAGTTTATATGTTTATATTGTTATAATGCATTGTTATGTATTTATAACAATATTTATTGAGCTCTTGCTATATGACAGAAAATGTACCTCATGTTACCTTTTTTTGGTGACTAACTCCTCACAACCACTCAATGAGGTAGATCCCTTGATTATCCCCATTTTATCCACAAGAACACCGAGGCTTTGAGGAACGAAATGATTTCTCCAAGGACCCATGCACCTGTTTTTCCAGCTTCTGGTCCAGAATAGGTCCCAGTAACATGCATTTCCTCTCTCTTGCATTAAGGCTTCAGCATAAGGTTGTGAATTTGGGGCTCCATGCAAAAATGAATGACAAAGAGGGGAGTGGGGCCCAGACTTAGCCTGGAGACAAGCTTGCCACAAGCTTTTATTTGCTGGTTTTAGCCTTTTTCAGAGAATTCTTAGAATCTTCTGTTTGATTTGAGGTTTGAGCCAGTCCAGCTTATACTTCTCAGACTTCCAGTCTCTAACCTTCCAACCTCCTAATCCTTTCTTTCCGACTCTGATAGCCAGGAGAGGTGGGTGCGGAGGACAAGATGAAAAGGCCGCCAACTCCTCAATCCAGCGCCTGAACGGCGGTATGTCGGGCCGGCTGGTCCTCTCGCGCCACCTAGTGGTCCCCTCTGCCGCAGCACTCCAGGCTGAACAGGTAAGCTGAGGCAGAAACCGAGAGAGAGGCCGGTTAAACACTCTGGTAGCTCGCTGAGGGAGAGATTGTGGCTTCTGGAGAATCAGAACTTGGAATTTGGTTGGATTCAGCTAGATTTAGATCCTGGCTCTACCACATACTGAATGTGTGGCTTTGGGCGAGTCACTTCAATTTCAAGCCTCAGTTTCCTCATTTGCAACATGAGGAGAATCCCAGTGCTTCTTGAAGCCGCAGAAGTGCTTAGCCTTGTGCCCAGAACCACCAGGGTGTTTATTTCAGGCAGAAGGAACTTTGTTCTTTCTCAGGCCCTTGTAGATTCTTTTCTCAGCATCCTTACTTAGCACCCCCCCACCCCCGAGTCCTGTCCTGTCCTTCTCTTACTCTCCATACTCTCCCTGCCATTTTATCTGCCCCATGGACTTTAATTGCCACCTGTATTTTCCCCAAAGAGCCTCAGACCTGCTTTTCCAACTGCTTCTTGGATGTTTCACAGGCACCACCAACTTAACATGTCCGAAGTGAAATTATCTTCTTGCCCACAAACCTGTCTCTCTTCCCGTGTGGCCTATGCAGCCAGTGGTTCCACCCTCTACCCTATTGCTTAAGCCAAAAATATGGGTGTCACCCTCGACTTGTCCCTCTCTCCTCCCCCAGAAGTATTGTCATCATGTCCCGGTGACTGAACCTCATAGGTGCTCAATCCAGCCACTTCTCTTCATCCCCACTGCCACTACCTTACTCGGCACATGGTCCTGTTTTACTTGGATTATTGCAACTGCCTCTTAGTTTGATTCCTTGCTTCCACTTTCCCGGCCCTTGTTTGCCCTCAGCCTTCCTTTCTGGAGGTGCTAAGGGAGAATTCATTTTCCAGCCTCTATCACCTTCTAGAGGCTTCTCACTTTCCTTGGTTTGGGCTTCCTCCATCTTCAGAGACAGCAAAGTTATGTTTTACTGACCATTTTTCCATAGTAAAATCTCCCTCTGCTTCTGTCTCCTGTCTTCCTCTCCATTTCTAAGGGCCTTTGTGATTTCACTGGGCCCACTCCCACTTAATTCAGGATAATCTCCCATCTCATGATCTTCAATTTAATTACATCGCCAAGGTCCTTTTTTGTTGTTGTTGTTATGTAATGTGATAGATTTACAGATTCTGAGGATTTTAGGACATAGACATCTATTGTTTGTTTTTGTTGAAGACAGGCAGACAGACCTGGTTACTTTTTTTTTTTTCCCTATTTTTAGTAGAGATGGGGGTCTCACTTTTGCCCGTGAACTCCTGAGCTCAAGCAATCCACCTGTTTTAGCCTTCCAGAGTGCTGGGATTACAGGCGTGAGCTATCACTTGTCCAGGACATAGACATCTTTAACAGGTCTCTACTCTGTGTACCACAGTCTTTTCTCTGGTCCCCAGATATTCTTGTCTATCTCACACAGGAAATACATTCACTTCATTCAAAGGTTCCCAAAAGTCTCAATCCCTTAAGAGTATCAACTCAAAGTCCACAGTCTCACCTAAATCTCTTCAGTTTGAAAATTTAAAAATCTCATCATTGAAATAGTCTAAATTAGGTATGGCAAGAAGAACACAGTCTCTTCTGGGGCAAGGTTCATCTTCATCTGTGGACCGGTAAAACCAGAAAACAAACTGCTCCTGGCTCGGCGCCCATGCTCAGTGGTTAGGGCACCAGCCACATACACCAGGGCTGGTAGGTTCAAACCTGGCCCGAGCCCTCTAACCAACAATGACAACTGCAACAACTGTAGTCCCAGCTACTTGGGAGGCTGAGGCAAGAAAATCACTTAAGCCCAAGAGTTTGAGGTTGCTGTGAGCTGTGATGCCACAGCACTCTACTGAGGGTGACATAATCAGACTCTGTTTCAAAAAAAAAGAAAAAGAAAAAGAAAACAAACTGCTCCCAAAATACAATGGTGGTATAAGGTCACAGTTAAAGACATTCCCTTGCAAAGAGCAACTCTGAAAATTGAATTAGACAAACTCCACCAGGTTTCAAGTCCTAGGAATAGTACTTTGTAGTTCAAGGCTTTGACTTTGGGCTTATAGCTCCACCCTGAGTCCTTCTTCCTTTTTCTTGAAAGGTTCAGCACAAGTTTACAGCTAGGCAGTTTTATCAACTTGTTTCCTGCCTGTGGAATTCTGAGGATCTTACAGCTTTCCTTCATTTCATATTCTCGCTATTTCTTTCAGTCCAAGCTGCAGTGTTTCTGCTGATACAAAATTCTCAAGAACCTTGTGGGTCTCTCCTGTTGTGTCCTGGGGATTCACTCCATTAGACAAAAGGCCTCTTCATAGATCTTCTCCAGATAATCTCATTTCTTTCTTTTTTTGTGTGTGGTAAGACATTTATAATATATTTTTAGTTGCATTGTGTACATTAGGTGAGATCCTGCCAAATGGCCTCCCTCCACTTGCCCTCTCCCCCTTGACTGTCTCTCCTCTCCCCTCTTTCTTTCTGGACTATCTTTGTGTTTCATCATTTGTATGAATGTGTAAGTGATTATATATTGGTTTCATAATAGTATTGAGGACATTGGATACTTTTTCTCCCATTCTTGAGATACTTTACTAAGAAGAATATGTTCTGGCTGGGAGCCTGTAGTCGATGGTTAGAGCACCAGCCTCGTGCACCTGGGAGTGGTGGGTTCAAATGCAGATCAGGTTTGCTAAACAAAAACAAAAAGAAGAAGAAGAAGAATATGTTCCAGTTCCATCCAGGTAAACATGAAAGATGTAAAGGCTCCTTTTTTTGTGTGACTGCGCAGTATTCCATGGTATACATATACCACAATTTGTTAATCTATTCATGGGTTGATGGGCATTTAGGCTACTTCCACAACTTGGCTATTGTGAATTGGGCTGCAATAAACATTCTGGTGCAAATGTCTTTGTTGTAAAATGATTTTTGCTCATGTGAGTAGATACCTAGTAATGATATTGCAGGTCAACTTTTAGTTCCTTGAGAATTCTCCATACTTCTTTCCAAAAAGTCTGTATTAATTTGCAGTCTAATACAAAGTCTGTATTAGTTTGCAGTCTGGAAGTGTAGAAGTGTACTCCTGAGCTCAAGCAATCCACCTGTTTTAGCCTTCCAGAGTGTAGAAGTGTTCCTTTCTCTCCACATCCACACCAACATCTGCAGTTTGGAGATTTTGTGATGTGAGCTAATCTTACTGGACTTAGGTGATATCTCAAAGTGGTTTTGATTTGCATTTCTCTGATGATTAAAGATGATAAACATTTTTTCATGTGTTTGTAGGCTATGTACCTATCATCTTCAGAGAAGTTTCTGTTCAAGTCTCTTGCCCACATAGAAATGGGGTTGTTTGTTCTTTCCTTATTGATTAGTTTGAGTTCTCTGTGGATAGATAATCTCATTTCTATTTTTGGCTTCTGTTGAGGTAGCTGAGGGGGATAATGAGTCACATACTAAATCTCTTCAAAAAGCCTTTTATGTGATGGAATACTTTGACCTTTTGATCTAATATATTAGCAAAAGGTCAACCAGCCATATTCTCAGCTTTTTCTCTAAAACACACATTCCTCTTTTTTTTTTTTTTAAATATGGAATACTTCATGAATTTGCGTGATCCTTGAGCTGGGGCCATGCTAATCTTTTCTGTATTGTTCTAATTTTAGTATATGTTCTGCTGAAGCAAGCACGAGAAAGTCCACATCCCTGACAATGAATTTCATTATTCTAATATCTCTTGCAATCTGAATAGGCCGAGAATCCCCCAAATTGCCAAGTCCTGCTTCCTTTTTTGTTTAACAGTTCTCTCAAATTATCTATTTCTTCTCACATTTTGCTATAAGCAGCAAGAAGAAACCAGGTCATACCCTTCAACGCCTGCTTAGAAATCTCCTCAGCTGTATATTCAGATTTATTGTTTATAAATTCTGTTTTCTGCATAACTCCCAGGCACAATTCTCAGCTTTTTGTCCCTGTGTAACAAGGATCCCCTTTTTCTCCGAGTTGCCAACAACATTTTCCTCATTTCCTTCTGAGCCTTAACCCACTGCATCTTTAACATTCATATTTCTATCAAGTCTGTTCATAATGATTTAGTTTTCTCTGAACTGATTTGTAATTTTTTTTTTTTTTTTTTTTTTTTTTTTGCAGTTTTTGGCCGGGGCTTGGTAGTGAACCTGCCACCTCTCACATATGGGGCCAGTGTCCTACTCCTTTGAGCCACAGCACCACCCTGTGGCATTCTGATTTTTACAAATTATTCTTCTCTTACAGAAGAGACCTGATA